CCTCTGGCCCTGTCTCACTCCTGCTCACAGTGTGACCCTCTGGTCCTGTCTCACTCCTGCTCACACTGAGACCCTCTGGCCCTGTCTCACTCGTGCTCAAATCAAACCCCTCTGGCCCTGTCTCACTCCTGCTCACAATGTGACCCTCTGGACCGGTCTCACTCCTGCTCACACTGGGCCCCCTATCCCTGTCTCACTCCTGCTCACAGTGTGACCCTCTGGCCCTGTCTCACTCCTGCTCACAGTGTGACCCTCTGTTCCCGGCTCACTCCTGCTCACAGTGTGACCCTCTGTTCCCGGCTCACTCCTGCTCAAACTGGACCCCTCGTGCCCTGTGTCACTCCTACTCACACTGGGTCCCCCCGCCCATCACACTCCTGCTCACAGTGAACCCCTCTGTTCCCGTCTCACTCCTGCTCACAGTGTGACCCTCTGGCCCCGTCTCACTCCTGCTCACACCGAGAGCTTTTGTTCCTGTCTCCTGCTCACACCAAACCCCTCGGTTTCTGTCTCACTCCTGTGTCTCCAGTATGAAGGTCTGGTGGCGTGTCCAGTGTCTCTGGAGAGTCCTGTGAGTCCAGTGTCTCTGGAGTGTCAGTTGTGTCCAGTGTCTCTGGAGGGTCCTGTGAGTCCAGTGTCTCTGGAGCGTCAGTTGTGTCCGTCTCAGCCTGCACTACGAGCTCGTTTCTCCCTCTTGCAGGAAGGCTGAAGGAGGACAGCAGCAGTTCCAGAAAGTGACGCAGAAAGAGGCAGAACTGGACCAACAGGAGAGGAGAACAATGGAGGAGGAGGAGGAGGAGAGAGGAGAACAGGAAGAGGAGGAGAAGTGTAGGGTTACAGAGGCTTTGGTTTAAAAAAAAAAGACACTGGACCAGAGGTGAGAAAGCTACTGGATTTATTTCTGAAGGAATTAACACGCACGTAAGGAATGTAGGAATTTCGTTCGGCTCAGGGCGTGAGGGAGGGGTACAGCTGAACCGAGTCTCCCGTCAACGCCCCCATCAGGATCAGAGCCAGAGCACACTGGGGGTCACCCCCCCACCCCCGAGTCCAGCGCAGTGCAGGGTCATCCCTCCTCCCCTGGTCCACCACCCAGGGTCATAGGTCAAACCCCAGGTGTCCAGGAGATGGGGGTCCAGCTCACTTCCCGTTCCTCGCGCTCAGCATCTTCTCCTGCGGAGACAGGAACCCCTGGTCAGAGCTGGACCTGGGCTCCAGTCCAACCCCCCACCCTCCCCTCCTTACATTCCCCCCCGACAGTCTCACCTCTCACCTGTCACCCCCAATTTCTGCACCTCCCCACTCCTCACTCCTCCACCCCCCTCACTCCTGCCCCCACGCTGACCCCCCTCACCCCCCAGCCCAGTCTGACCCCCTGTCTGACCTTGATCATGGTCTCCAGTCTCACTGCGTCGGCGGCGAATCTGCGGATGCCGTCGCTCAGCTTCTCCACGGCCATGCGGTCCTCATTGTGGAGCCAGCGGAAGGCCTTCTCGTCCAGCGTCACCCTCTGCAGCTCGCAGGCCTGAGCTGGACAGTTACAGGGTTGCAGTTACAGGGGAACCCACCGCCACCCCCGGCCCCCAGCCCACCCAGGCGCCCCACTCACCGGCCTGCTCGGACAGCGCCGGCGCCAGCGGGCTGTGGTCCCTGCTCAGCTCCGCCAGCAGCGCCGGGGAGATGGTCAGGTAGTCGCAGCCGGACAGCGCCTTCACCTCCCCGGTGTTCCTGAAGGAGGCGCCCATCACCACCGTCTTGTACCCGAACTTTTTGTAGTAGTTGTAGATCTTGGTCACGCTCACCACACCTGCGGGAGGACAGGGGAGTCCTGAGCTGCCCATCCAGCGGCCTCCTCGCCCCCCCCCGCCTGCCCTGCCCTGCGGCCGCTCGTACCGGGGTCCTCAGCTGGCTCGTAGCTCTTGCGGTCCGTGTTCTCCTTGTACCAGTCCAGGATCCGGCCCACGAAGGGCGAGATGAGGGTGACGTGGGCGTCTGCGCAGGCCACCGCCTGGGCGAAGGAGAACAGCAGCGTCATGTTGCAGTGGATCCCCAACTTCTCCTCCAGCTCCCTGGAAACACAGAGCGACACAGAGCACCCCGCTTCTGACAGCACACAGCCCCCGTCGCCCCAGAGCACCCCTCTCTGACAGCACGCAGCCCCCGACTACGAGGGAAACCCCTCTGACACCCCGGTTCCTCACCTGCCGGCCTCAATTCCCTCCCAGGTGGAGGTGAGCTTGATCAGCACCCTGTCCTTGGCGACGCCCGCCTCCTCGTACAGCTCCACCAGCCTGCGCGCCCGCGCCACCATGGCCTCCTTATCGAACGACAGCCTGGCGAGACGGAGGGGAGGGGTCAGCGTCTGCCCCGATCCCCCTACAAGCGCCATGGGCCACCAGCGTCTCGGGGCACCCACCTGGCGTCCACCTCGGTCGACACCCTTCCCGGGACCTTCTTCAGGATCTCCAGGCCGAAGCTGACGAACAGCTTGTCCATGGCGCTGGTCACCTGCTCCTCCTCCGTCCTGTAACAGGGGGGCACAGCGCGGGTGAGTCTCCAGGGTGGCGCGCACCTCCGGGCACACGCACACGCACACGGCGGCGCCAGTCTTACCCGCCTGCGCCCAGCCCGTACGCAATGGCCTGGTCCAGCAGGTGCTGGTATGCTGGCATCTTGGCGGCCGCCAGGATGAGGGAGGGGTTGGTGGTGGCGTCCTGGGGTTTGTACTCCTCGATGGCTGCAGGGAGAGCAGGGAGAAGGAAATTAATCTTTACTGTCTTTACAGCCGCTGCTCAGCTCCAGCACTGTGGGAGAGCCCAGGTGTGTGATAGGTGTGGCAGTGCTGTCAGACTCCCAGTGCGCAGCAGTCTGATCCACTCCAGGTGTGACAGTGCTGTCAGTCAGACTCCCAGTGCGCAGCAGTCTGATCCACTCCAGGTGTGACAGTGCTGTCAGTCAGACTCCCAGTGCACAGCAGTCTGATCTGCTCCAGGTGTGACAGTGCTGTCAGACTCCCTCTGTACAGAAGTCTGATCCAGTACAAGGGTAACGCGGGCCAGTTGTCCAGCTTTACGGGCGGAGCGGTGGCTCTGTGGCTCAGGATCTGCACCTGTGACTGGAAGGTTGCCAGTTCAAATCCCACGGCCGGCAGAGGAATCCTACTCCGTTGGGCCCCTGAGCAAGGCCCTTAACCCTAACTGCTCTAGGGGCGCTGTACAATGGCAGACCCTGCGCTCTGACCCCAGGCTTCTCTCCCTGTCTGTGTATCCATGGAGAAAAGCTGGGGTATGCGAAAAGACGAAAAAAGACGAATTCCTAATGCAAGAAATTGTATAGGGCTAATAAAGCAACATCACATCACATCACTCCCAGTGTTCAGCAGTCTGATCCCCTCCAGGTGTGACAGTGCTGTCAGTCAGTCACAGGTGCTGTGCAGCTGGAGCCCTGGCCAGCTCAGGAGGATTACAGCAGGGAGGAGGGAGTGACTCCGCACAGGCGGCTGAGCCAGACAGTAGCTCTCTCACAGCCAGAGTCACAGTGACTCTGCAGATTCCCGCATCCTTACTCTCACCCCACACACAGACACACTCACCGTGATTCTGCAAAGCCCAGCAGTCTCTCTCTACAGCACACACACACCCAGCAGTGTCCTGTGCATGCGTGCGTGCGTGTACAGCACACACACCCGGCAGTGTCCCCCCCCTCGTCTGTCTACTGTCAACAGCGTGTGGACTTCACCAGCTCAACTCAGCCCTGGTCTACAGCTTCCTAAGGGTTTTGTGGTGCCGCCTGGTGGCTGAATGCAGAAGGACCAGAAACAGAGCCTGTCAGGACCTGCAGTGCTGCACGTGAGTTACCAGAACAGTACAGCTCCAGCACCTACCATCTCTCCTACAGCCAATGAAAACCAGGGTGAATACTACCTGCTCCACACCCCCACCACTGTTGGTGTAAAGAGGGGCCATCTGTTCTACTCCTCTGCAACTACAAAACACTTACAATTAGGTTCAAGGGAGGTCAAGTAAAAACTGGACCTTTTCATTACATTGATTTGGGACAGGATGACCGTTGTGTGGTGGCGATGATGTGCACACAGCAGCCTTGCAACACTTCACCACTCTTGTGCAAACGGATGTCGCAACAGGACTTTCAGGTCTCTCACACACAATAGCTCAGCCAGGCCATTAACAATAGCGCCTTGTTCACATACTGCCCCTCAGCATACTTCCTAATATTCACATATTTTTCACAGAAACGGGAAATACTACAGT